ATATATATATATATATATATATATATATATATATATATATATATATATTGAGTTATACAATGATTGTGGATGAATAATTTTCACTTCTAAAATAATTTATTTTTATCTATTGAATATTATTTTGATGATTTGTGAATAAGATGTTAAGTTGTATAAATACTCATCAAATGTAATTATAGAGAACATCACACCATCTTGAATTCAAAAATCATTTCAAACCTTATTTTTTTTATTTTATAATGTTTTGGTTTAGTTTTGTAAGTTTTAGTGTTAATTATATCGAATTTTTAACACGTTATCAACAAGAAATCTTTAATCAAGTGGAAATCATATTTATCATACTCAATGAATGTATTACCTAATAAAAAAAGGTATTTTTTATAAAACAACCATTATATTAAAAATAATTATGAATTATGAAAAAGTGTTTGTTATTAACAACTAATGATATTTATTTTTTTTGCCAACTATTATTTATGTATTCTTACTTTTATTTATGCATTTACATTATGCAACTAATGTTTATTTATGTATACTAACATATAAATTATGCAACTAATTTTCATGTATACTAGCGTTTGTTTATACATATCAATGTTTATTTATTATATTTCAGATATTCTTCATAATTTTATTTAAATATTTACTAGTATTTATTTATGTTTGTAATTAGTAAAATTATACCAAGTAAAATTATGTACTAATTATAAGTCTTATTAAATGAATTATAAAATAAATATACATATATGTAATATATATACACAACGACTATTTATACGCAACGGTTATAAACGGCACAAACAACAACTATATTTTACTATAAATAACATCAATATCATATTTCTTTCTACCACAAAAAAGTGAATTCTCTCACTTTTCAAGGTTATCAAGATCAAAATGATTCATTCAGTAGTGATTCTTCAAACTATAATGAATATAGCACTTGGGTTTCTAATTTTGTCACACCCCAAAACCAAGGATAGCGGAAACGTCCGGGGGTGGCTGACTTCATGTATAGTATCACAACAACGAGTATAATAATGCTCATAGTAAATACAACCATCATAAATATAATTGAAAAAGTTACACCATAGTATGAGTTTACATGTTTCAAAATCAATTACATTATGATGACAAAAATATATTAATTGACGTCTTGCGTCCCATCCTCAAAAGCAGTTGGTTACCTGTTTCACTGGTTTCCTGAGAATACAAGTAGTTTTGAAAGAGTGTCAAGAATTAAGTTGGTGAGTTCATAAGCTTTTGGATGAAATGTTGGAAAAACCT